TTTCATTTTATTAAAAATATATATATAATTATTTCAGTGTGCATTTAATGATTTCATGGTCCTGTGTCGCAGTGCATCGAAACCATTAAAAGAATCTGTCAAACTCCCCCATCAAAGTTAGGGGGCGGGGTTAACGCGAATCGAGTCTCTGTAATCGATTTGCTTCGCCTTAATGTGCAGGGTGACCAATCAGGTGTTAGATAACCGCCCCCTAACTTTGATGGGTAGGGTTAGGGGTAGGGTTAGAGGAGCTCTAACCCTGTAGCTCAGATTCAGAAAGTGGGTCTTTCTGAATCTGCCGCTGTGCTTCTCTGCTCTCTTCCTGCGTTAGCTCTGGAAAGCTGCTACCTTCTCTACGCGCTCTGAGCCGTTTCCATGGGGAGCTCCTCCAAACCCGCTGTGCTTCCTTTGCTCCAGAGGCCTCAGCTCCTCCGGATTTCCTGCTGCTCCTGTCTGAGCTACATAAACACCATCTCACATAACCTCTGTTGTCAGGGAGAATTAACAGATCAAATTAACTTATTAAAATAGTCAAACATTTTGCAAATGTCATTGGGGTGAAGGACAAAATCAAGACCAGCATAAAATGTCAAATTGTCATTATAAAGATATTTTTTACTTTCCATTTTTGGTCAACGTTATAATTATAAACATTATAACACAATGTGCCATCAATGTAATCTTACACAATCTCTCCTATTAAGCTTTCAATTTTGGTCTGGACCAAGTTGGAAAAGATTGTGAAATATTTCCTGGACTTCCTAACAGCACAATACTACGGGAGAGGATTAGGGCCACTGAAAGAATAAAAAAAAGTTAACGGATTTTTAAATGTTATTTCAGTTCAATATGCTGACTTTAATCTTGGAATTCTGACTTTTTCCTCAGAATTCTGAATTTAATCTCAGAACTTCTGAATTTAATCTCAGAATTTTTACTTTTTTTCCTCAGAGTTCTCACTTTGATCTCAGAATTCAGGCTTTTTTCTCAGAATTTTAAATTTCATCTCACAATTCTGACTTTAATCTCAGAATTCAGACTTTTTTCAGAGAATTCTGAATTTCAACTCAAAATTCTGACTTTTTTCTCAAAATTCGGACTTTAATCGAGAATTCTGACTTTTTTCTAAGAATGCTAACTTTGATCTCAGAATTTTGGATCCTAATGTAGATGGGAACCCAAAGGAAAAGATGTGGGAGCACTCAGATTCACTGACAAAGATATGAGTTGTTTCAGAGGGTCAGTAACACATTGGTGAAAAATGACGAAATTAGGTGACTTTTTATGTGCCCTAGGGGTCCCTGGTGATGCTATTTAATTAATGGAAGAGCGGAAGGTGATTAAAACAGGAGAGCTAGTTTAGTCTCTAGACAAAGCTACGATGTTTGTTGGCTGTCAGAATTTAGTCAGAATTCTGACTTTTTTCCCCATTTTAAACTGAAATAATATTTAAAAATCCTTTTTTCTATTTTGTCAGTGGCCCTAATCCTCTTCCGTACAGTACATGCATTTCATTCTTTCTCTTCTTTTTTATTTTTCAATTTTTCACCCTGTCCAGCAGATGGTGCCTCAGGAAGCTGCGTTTGTCACCTGTCAGCAAAGCCGACCCTGAGCATCACTATCACTAGTTCATCAGTCTTAGTTAGGATGTTTGCTCAGCAGCTTTAGCTTCTTCTTCAGTAAACACAAACATTTATACTGTATCCTCAGTGCTGTTCCAAACGGATCCCTTTCAGAATTACACTTCACTAAATAGCTTAACCAAAAACAAAGCATTAAAATAATAATAATACACCAAGAGGATGTGGAAATATGGTTTCAGAGAAACTCTGTACGCTAACAGAGTGAACTACTGGGATATACACTTCAATACTTATATACACTTCAACCTGGAGAGACACGTCACACAATCGTGTACTTCTAAACATTTCTATGTAAGGAAAACCAGCTGATTGTGAGGACTGTTTTACTCGAAGGGAATCCCTTACACTAAGCATGCATGTAGCGATAGTGGAGAGGAAAAACTCCCTTTTAACAGGAAGAAATTTCCAGCAGAACCAGGCTCAGTTTAAGCAGCCATCTGTCGAGGCCGATTAGGGTTCAAGTAGACCGAAGGAGATGAAGACATAAACGAAATAAGATCTTTGGCAAAATATGTGCAAAGTGCAGCATGTAAAACACTTATGCAGCAAATAAGACTGGGAAAATAGAGGCTATGATGTTTTTAAAAACATTTTTAGTATAGAAAAATAGAAAATCCCTTTATTTATCCCTTTATATTCATTTATCCCTTTATTTTGATTTAAAAAAAAAGTAAAATCATTGCAACTAACTGGAAGTGAGTAGAGTACTAATAAACTGAACTGCAGTAAGACTAGAACTACTTTATCTTATCTTTAATCCAGTAAAAAAAAAAAAGTAGTCATCCAAGAATTAAAAAAGTAAGAAGTAAAAAAGTATTTTTTAAAAAGGCTGCTCAAGTATTGAGTAACTGATCTGATCATAACAACTGGTTTAATATTTAAAAAAATGATGTAAAATTTAACAAAAATCTTAAGTTATATACAAATACTGCTATTTCAAGTATGAGATTCAATATATACTACATATTTACATACATTAATTAAACAATAATAATTCTAGATGGAATAAACACTTTATAATACATTATATTATTCATAAAACTTACAAAATTAATAGTTACAGTAAAACAAAAACAAAAATATTTTCAATTATTGAAATAACTCACAATAGGTGCAGTAGCCAGAAATTTTACTGAAGTAAGATTTGTGATATTTTATATTTAAAAAAGTACAATATAGTAAAACTATTCTTATGTTTTTTTGTTAAAAAGGTTGAATTAATAAATGTGATTAGTTACTATGCCCCTCTGCCACTAACAGCATGTTTGTGAACCCATGTAAACCTGTCTGTTTAAAGCAGTAATGGTTATAAAGTCGAACAGTCGCTGTCTGGGAGGAACGATCTGCTCCTGAGCTCCATTTTATTTTATTTCCTCCACCGCTTTATTTAATAAAAAAAAAAAAATGGATCCAGGTCATTTGAGTGAAACCCAATAGAATCAGACAATTTGCTTTTAATATATATATAAAAAATATTTGTCTTATTTCAAGTGCATAACCTCCAATTATCCTATTTCAAGTTATAAATAATCTTGTTTACCTACTCAAATTAAGGGTAAATACATCTTTTTATTGCCGTATAAAACAGAAAAACACAAGCTAAGCTTTTTACCGTTTTAAGGCCTACATGTCATCCTTAAAAACTTTCTGACAAATTAAATAAAAAAAAATTACATTTTGTATATTTTAAATAAGATAATTTATGGCATTTCTGAAGAAAGTGACAATAAAAGCTGACTTGACTTGACTTTCTGTATAATTTTTATATGTTTTCTGCTTACTGCATGTGTCTGATTGTGTAAATCGGGAGTTTTAAGA